TATGATCATCCGAACCATTTTGTGATTCTTCTAGTTTAACCAGGTACTTAGCATTCTTCGTCTACCTCGGCATGGTAGCAAATCATTACGTTTGGTTTTCCAACGGAATTGTAATCCGACGGAAAGCCAAACTTAGCATCCCTAATCGTATTGAAAAGGCGCACGTACCACAGTGGAGTGTAAAAGCACTGAGTATCGATCAACGACCTTTCATAAGTTCTGCGGAAGTATTAGATTAAACAAAAAACCAAAAACTACTAAACGACTTAAACCACAACTAACCCATTATCATTGCGAAATTCAAGCTTCAATCCGAAATATTTTAAAACATCAAACTTTGTGTATCAAACAAACAAAACAATATAGTACAGCAAGGAAAAAAACTGCAACGGTAGTATAATCATGGCAAAAATGTATATAATCTTAATTGAAAGAATAAACAGAAAGTGAGATTCAGAAGACCATCTGAATAATGGGAAGCGATAGATACTGAGAGCTTGTAAATTAATTATTTAACAATTTCATTACAGTCGGTGAGAATCTCACTCGCTTTGCACGTGTATCAAAAGTCTATAAACACTTATAATCTAAGTTATGATGACTCTTTGAAATAACGTTAACAAACAAAAGAAATTTGAACTCATAAAACAGTTTTTGCAGTATTGTAGAATTTATAAAGAAATCAACAGCTGGGAAATTCCTGTATCTCGTAAAGCTGCTATAGGATAATTGAACAATTTGCGTAATGTATCTATATTATGTTCTGGCGAATATTTAAGTGTTTCCAGCGTTGTTATTTCATCATCATCATCATTACAGCCCTTCACAAGTCCACTGCTGAACATAGGCCTCCCCCAAGTAATGCCACAAAGCACGGTCCTGAGCCACCTGCATCCATCGACTTCCTGCATGTCTTACCAGGTCGTCACTCCATCTAGTGGGGGGTCGCCCTACACTACGCCTACCGGTACGAGGCTGCCACTCGAGAACCTTTGTTCCCCATCGGTTATCAGTTCTTCGAGCTATATGGCCGGCCCATTGCCACTTCAGCTTACTAATCCGTTGGGCTATGTCGGTCACTCTGGTTTTACTGCGGATATCCTAATTTCTGAGTCTATCACGCAGAGAAACTCCGAGCATAGCCCTCTCCATAGCTCGCTGAGCGACCTTAAGCGTCCTCATACGGCCAGCAGTGAAGGACCACGTCTCAGATCTGCTGAGATCTGCCACTTTGCCTGGCGTATGTGGACTATGAGAAAGCCTTCGAATTCCGTCGAAATTTGGGCGGTGCTACAGTCCCTTCAGCGGTGCCAAGTTGACTGTCGGTATATCGAAGTGCTGAAGTGTTTGTACAGTAGGGCTACGATGGCTATCCGAGTACAGAACCAGAGCTCGAAACCTATCCAACTGCAGAGAGGTGTAAGACAGGGTGACGTTATATCCCCGAAACTCTTCACCGCTGCATTGGAAGACGTTTTCAAGCTACTGGACTGGAAAGGATACGGTATTGACATCAATGGCGAGTACATCACTCACCTTCGATTTGCCGACGATATAGTCCTTATGGCAGAATCGCTGGAGGACTTAAGCACTATGCTCAATGACCTCAATAGTGCCTCCCAACGGATAGGTCTTAAGATGAACATGGACAAAACAAAGATCATGTTCAATGTCCATGTCACACCTATGCCGGTAGTTGTTGGGAGCACTATGCTCGAAGTTGTTGACGAATACGTTTACCTGGGACAAATAGTCCGACTAGGTAAGTCCAACTTCGACCGAGAGGTCAATCGACGGATTCAACTCGGCTGGGCAGCGTTCGGGAAATTACGGCATATCTTTTCGTCAGGTATACCTCAATCTCTAAAAACTAGATTGTACAACCAGTGCGTGTTGCCAGTGATGACTTACGGATCTGAGACGTGGTCCTTCACTGCGTTGTTATTTATTCTTACGAAATTATTTACATAAAAACAGACTTAGTATAATATTATTTACATTTATAGTAACGAACTGTTTGTTGAATAAGTAACAGAATTTGGCCACCACGCTATTTTGGTCCCGTAGGTGACACTAACGTTGAATTGGAGAATTCTAGAAATATTACGTATCATTTAAATGATGACGTACGAATAGTCCTTTTTTCATGAATTGCCAAACTCGTAATAGTGATTTCAATGTCATCGGTATAGAGTACACTAACCCGTACTAACAGTCGGTGTCGTCGCCGACAGAGGACAATAAACAAGAGGTGGACAACAGCATCTCCCTGATGACTACTCAATACGATATAAAACAGCGTTTACCCATGTACCTGCCATGCGTGGCAAATATCTCGCAGTAATAAGTATTTGCCCAGCTGTGGACATTTTACCTAATTACGATGACTATTTATAGTCTTTAATATCAATTTTATCGTTTTAGTTTAAAGTTATATATAGTTCATCATATCATAAATTCATAACATCATAATTTAAACAGTGTGCTATAATGGATGAAACAGACGCTCCTCCTGAATAGACTACCTACTTTAGAATGGAACAATAGCAGCCAAAACCAGACAAGAACGTCAATCCTTATATTGTGACATTTTGAATGTATTTTGCATTTACGTAGATATTTGAAGTTACATTAAAAATATTTTATACCAAAAATTAAAAAGATTCCTTTGAAGTTTTTAACTTCGTATATGTTAACCAAGAGCCTTGGTCTCAAAGACACCAGGCCCTCTTTATTTTACGCAAGAGAAGTTGAAGAAAGAAAGTTGAAACTTTTTTCGTCCACAAAAACACCACACGTGTTTTTCATCCAAAAGTGTAATTATCAGGATAAATAGATTCTAGGAAGTCTGGTCGCTAAGAGGCACATAAACAAGCAGCAAACTTTCAACTTTCTTAAAGCTTTTTAGCCATTTATTATTTATCTATTTAGCCATTGTAGTCTCTTTCAAGGGGATCTCATATATATATTGTGTCATCTTTAAGAACCGAGAGCATGATGAAGCAGAGAAGTAGCAGCTGTAGTGAGTCATATATCATAATCAATGTTATTTTATTATATTGCTTATTTTGGTGCACATATAGATCCTGCTACATAGCGTGTTGAAAACTACAATTTCTCCCAACCGTAGGCGAAGCCCATCTACTGCAGTAGATTGATTACTGACCAAAGAGATGTAGAGACGAGAAATGACCTAATGTAGGTTACGTAGGATAGGATTCAAATGTAGGGCAGCCCGGCTGACTTTTCTTGCCCTACTACCCTTTTAAAATTAAGGGGAGTAATGGGACGTATATAACTTTAACTTTTAACTTTAGAATTCAAATAAAGAAACTACTATTGACTCGAAATAAGAATTATGTTAGCTCTAATTTTAAGTTTTATACACAAATCAATTTCAAACAATTTTCTCTTGTCAATGAAATAAATAAAGCAACGATAAAAATAAATAATACTATATGTCTATGTCACTGTTTTCTTTTAATTTATAACACTGGTGCATTTCAATATGTAAGAAAGAAAGCTGATTTACTCGATCATCACAAATAGCAAAGACGATTATACATTATATCATAATATCATCTATTCAGTTATTAAATGACTATTTATTCCTCCCTCTCCCTTCAACCATCGGTTAACAAGACACTCGGGGAGTGCCATAGTTTGTCGACATATCACGCATTCGAACCAGACGCTTTGCTTCGTCGCTCGTAACTCGTAACGTATACACGAAAGTAGTGGAACAATTTCAAAGATTTTTGAAATAAGCATTAGTAAGCTTATGGACGCCACACACGGTCATTTCAACTGATTATTCCAACTGATCAGTTCAAACTAAAACTGTTGATATTTTTTAAAATATTGAATTTTTCGATATATGCATAATTATAAATATATCAATATCGGATTTTATATATAAGTTTATTTATCAAACATCCAACATTTTAAAAAATATCAACAGTTTTAGTTTCTACTGATCAGTTGGAATGATCACTTGATGATTTCTTAAATTTACGCGAACACTACACATTGAATAAAACTATTATTTACGGATTTTATCGCGTTTAATTACTTTAATTTATTTTTATTATTATCCCGACGTTTCGGGTGCTTTACAGCGCCCATGGTCACGGGGGGGACTAGTTAGTCCGGCTACCTTCAGTTTTTTAATATTAATTTTTGGTCCGATTTACGCAAAACGAGCTTATAGTATCATGAAGTCTTGCAGTGGTATGCTTGGGTTTGGGTTTAATTTTGTTAATTATAGGATCCCAAGCAGATGGTAGCACCCAACCATCTTCTCTATTGAAATTTGGATGTTTTTTAATTTCAATAGCCTCGCGTATCATCCTTGGTAGGAATCGGTGTTCTTTTGCGAGAATTTGTGGTTTATCAAATCTAATGTAATGGTGGGGACGATCTTGAACATGTTCTGCAGTCTGCGAAAAACTGAAGGTAGCCGGACTAACTATGACATTGGGACGTCAAACATCTCAGTCCCCCCCGTGACCATGGGCGCTGTAAAGCACCCGAAACGTCGGGATAATAATAAAAATAAATTAAAGTAATTAAACGCGATAAAATCCGTAAATAATAGTTTTATTCAATGATCACTTGAACTGACCGTGTGTGGCGACCATTAGAAGTTTCTATTATTGTTTTGTTCCGGTGGGATATCGGGTTCAATCAAACGATTGTCGTAAACATTATTTGATAATGTAACGGTTCCACTAAATTTTTTACACACATTATTACTTTTAACTATCGGAAATATAAGTATTATTCAAAAATATTGCATTAATATCTTTCAACAAAATAAACAAATTTCTGGTTGTCAAAATCGTTAGAATCAACTATCCGATTCAAGGCTAAAGTGTAGCCTTTAAAATAAGCTATGTTAGTGCATTTTATCATCTTCGGTAACATCACCACCACCACCACCAGATGGGATATTAGTCAAGAAATGGCTTAGAAAAGTTAAAAAAATTAAGTGTAAAATAATGGAGTGTGAGCGACAAGAAGATTCTTCGTAAAACTATCGATACTTTACAGTACGTCTTCCATAACCATTGAAATGCAGACAATCAAATTTAAATACATATAATAATTTACAAGTAATTTAAAAAATATATCAATAACACTGTCTTCTGTGGTAAGTCGTTAAAAACATCGTAAAACTGCTGCAATGGAACCATTCACGTATCTTATTTATGGCTCATAATATTTTAGACGCTACTTTTATAGCAGTTCTGTCGTTTCATAATAAATTTACGTCAACCAGTTACAACATTTTTAATAAAATCAAAGCGTGCTGTGGAATTGTAAGAATATCCTCTGCCCTACATCATCCCGTGGGTGGCGTAAGAGGCAGCAGAGGAACACTCAAGCAGGAGATGGGCAGCAGCATCTTTCTGGTTATAACACAAAATGATAAAAACTGCGGTTGCCAACCCGCTTGCTAAGCATGGCAACTGTAGTGAAATCCCCTTAGGAGACAATCTAAAGCGGAGGTCCATGTTCCAGTGGACTTTTATAGGTTGTAATTGATGAATGTATGAAGTAAATCAAACAATGCTGGACATATTGATGGACCGTCACGCAATTTATTTGAACAGTAATAAAGATATACAACGTAAGGTTACTGTAACGCTTATTAAGACATAGTAACGTATAATATGTTATAACATGAAAATATGAATATTTCTTCTGTCTTATTAAGAAAATACATTCTCTAGAATAGAATCTTTTTTATTCAATATAAGATTACATGTAATTCTTCTTGAATGTCGTTTTCTGACTGTTATCACTAATTCGGAAAAAAGCCTGTGTTATGAGAAGAACCAGCAAGAAAATCAGCGACACATATACATATTGTTACGAGTTTAGGGTTCGTGACAATAAAAACTGCCGATTTAATGGTAATTAAAATTGACACTTTAATTACTGAACACCCATTAAAACTTAAATCACACTAATAATTAATCACACATAATACTTTAGTTCACTTTGATGCGCTCCAAAAGCTTCGCTTGTATCGCCAATTCAATACTGCCCAACAAATACTGCTAATCGGCTTCATATAGAACTTTCCCACCAAAACATCTAGAATGTTCCAGCAAATACCGGTCCCGACCGACTAGATGTAGAAAATTCTAGTGTGGACTGTTCTAGAAAACTTAATTATTCTATTCGATACTAGATGGCGCTGTTGGTGGCAACTTCAGGCATGACATTTTCTAGAAAGCTATCCTCACTCTGCTCCCCGATGGCGGATGGAACTAGATGGTGCGAGGAGCATCAATTATGGCTTGCAACAATATATATTAAAGTAAATTATACAATATAAAAGGTTGTTTATACTATTTACAAAATTTATTTCAGAAACAGCTTAAAAGCGAAAACCTCATTCCCAAGGGTATAGTTGTTACCGTCTTAACATTTCGTAGGTGATTCAGCAATAATCAGGATTTTTATTGCAGTATTGTAAAATATAGACTTTTGGATTGTTATAGGAAATTTAAATATATTTACAAAATCTTTTGAGATCTTCCTGCATACACAACCTACCGTAACGCACACCGTATTGATTTATTACAGATCAATGTGTGAACCCTACTTAAATATTATTCCAACAAAACAAAACACAACAACAAAAGACAAAACAAAACACAATAACAAAATTAAATCGCAGGGTGTTGTGTATGCGCACCGCAAGGCAGTGTGCAGGGCGGCGTGCAAGGCGGCGCTCAGGTGCCGCCGGGGGTGCCGCACTCCACCGCGCCGCCGGCAGGCATCGGCGGCGTCCGCAAGTACGCTCTTACTGATTATCCCTCTACATTAACTGGTTTGTGTTGTGTGTAGGGCTGTCATCTATCTTTAAAATGCCGCAAATAGCTCTTGTTTTGTCGAGGACTAGCAAACCTTGCTTGAGTTGCGCCAAATATTCCTTTAAACATTACTAAAATTTTCCTGGATAAATAAAGTTTATAAAGCTTTTGTAAACAATTTTTTAAATAAAGAATGAAATAAAAAGTAAATATAAATAAGAAAAAATAATAGACATTAGGTTATTTTATAAAATCACGCATTGCGACCCCATTCGACATTTCCGGCATTCTAAAGGTAATCCACTCCTATCACCATTATCCAACTATAATTATTTCGAAATTCAATCCATGAATATTATTCTATTGATTTTCCTTTTATCATCTGTATGCCTCTCGGCACGTGGCAGACTACATGATATTAATGTGTTTGGCTTCCTTCCTAATGTTGTTGTAGACGCAGATATATAGACACAACATAATAAATTATGATGTCTATAAATCTTCATTCATGATACAGTTGATAAAAAATTAAAAAATATTCCTTCAGTTCTATGAATCCTTATCCCGAGAATAAAACAAACTTTATTAAATAATGATTACTCAAACTAAAACTCCAATTTAAAGTAAAATGAAAGGATCTGAAGTTTATCAGCGAATTCATACTATCGTTCCATCCAGTTTCACTAACGCATATATTCTCATAAAAATGTAGATGGCGTCTTAAACTTGCATGAAACAAACAACAATAATCATTTAATGTACACAACTAAACATAATTTTTATTATTGAATTTGTAACGTATTTTGATGATTGCGAAAGCACTTAAAATAATAACAGTTAAAATAATATAATATCAAGGAGAAGAACATTACCTACCATTCGTTTAAAGAGGTACTATTATGATGGCAAAACAGAAAAAATTAAACAGCATTTAGTTTAACAGAACTAGAAATTTCTATTTAAATTTAAAATACATCTTCTTCGATCTTCAAAACTGCACAATAATTTAATAATTGTAAGTTAAAATGGTACAGTTTTAATAATTTATCCATTCATAAAGAAGTTTTTTGAACATAATTCAATCTACGTTCTTTTTTAACCGACTTCAAAAAATAGGAGGTATTTCTTTTGACTGTATATTTTTTATGTGTGCCCCAGAACTTTTTCTGGCTGATCCGATTTTGGTGATTCTTTCTTTATTTGAAAGCCGATGCTTCCGGTGTGGTCCCATATAAATTTGATCAAGATCGGACCAGTAGTTTATGAGTTATCCTTGATAATGAGTATTTAATTGAATTCGAATACATTGACGATGTTCTCATTTTATTTTTATTGAAGTCGGTTGTACAAAATTTTTATTTTATCACTTTTTAAATATTGGCATAATAAATCTTAAGTTAAAATACTGTTAAAATGCTCATTTTAAAAACATGTAACTGAAAATTCATTTGTGTTATTTTATTTTCTATTATTTCCTTTTAACATTTATGTATGACTAAGACATATTGTGTATTTCATATTTTACGATCCGCAACAAAACGGGTGCGACGAGACTATGTAAGTAACTTGTTATATAGACGATACGTATACAGTAAAATGCCTAATTTTTATAAATATTTTAGGAAAGAAACGCAGACATCGTATTTGCTAAACCGTCGAGTATTACCGATTGGTAAAGTAAATTAGCGTAGGCCTAGAGTTACCGCTGCATGAAAGTGATGTTATTTGCACGTTTGACACATTATATATTTGTTGAAACGTAAGTATGTAATATTTAATCTACATTACACAAAGAAAATACTGTTTTATATGACCGACGTAAGCGTTTATATACTTAATTTATCCATGAAGCTTACACGTCAAATTTGTGGGTTAAGACTTTTAAAAGTTAACATTGTGTTATTGTGACCCAGTTACTTCACAAAACGATATTGTAAATGAATTCAAAATATCGTTGCGAAATTGAATTGTTTTATTTAACTTTTGTACGTATTTACATACCCTTTTCCACAGTTTATTAGACAAATAGTTATTTTGTTTTAATAATTATACAAAAATACTATTAAATTAGCCGTTCTAATTCGTGGTACAAGCCTATCGTTTTATGTATCTACCGTGACGGCATCACATAGTAAATATCGCATCCGCATGTAACACATTTAGTAGCAATAGGTGCCATGCACGACTTATTTTTGAAAAAATTCCATAGACGGAATGCGCTAACAATTCAATTTCGCTTTTTGCTTCAATCTGCATCTATTAAAATGGAGACAAGCTTAGTCGTAAAGAGCTACGCCTTGCTGTAACCAAAGCGTAGCTCTATAACGTCTATATTAATTAAGCTTGCTCCATGTATCTCACAAAGCAAAGCTTTAGTCATTTCTTCTACGTATATGACTATACATTTATTTGCATGTATTTGTACACAGATTCAGTCAGTATTCCAGAGGGCGAGGTTATCGCGATTGGCGCACACGTGGAGACCCCACGCTCATCAATTCACTCTGGCGCAGTCGGCAGCCGCTTGGTATTCGGAAACAGCTCGGTAAGATATTAACATAATGGCAGTTTTCATATGCCATTACTCATACTCCAATTTATTAATCTCCTGTATTGGGGGTATGAATAAATAAATCTAAGACGAACCTTTTACCACATAAACTTGTATTTGGTTTATGAGTAGAATAAATATTTACTTTACATTTCGTTTTGTCGATGTCCTAAAAGTGATAACAATAACTCTGATTAATATGTCGTAAAACGAAATTGATAACAATTGGTCAGCTTGACTGGGGAAGAACCACGCTTGAATAGGATAACAGGAAATAATTGCAACATAATTCTGGTTGGAGTACAACGATCGCGAAACGGAATTGATACCAATCAGTCAGCTTGACCGGGGAAGAACCACGCTCGAACAGGATAACAGGAAATAATAGCAACATAACTCTATTGTTTCTTTTGGTGAATGATTAGAAACAGACAGTCTTTCTATTGGTATCGAAGCATTACATCTTAATCACGAATAGATAGATAAAGGATTTTTATCATTTTTCACCGTTACGTCGCTTTCTATGAAAATCGGAAGTAAGCTATGATTCAATATCAGAATCTTTAGCTCAGTCTACTATGTTGCAAGTCCTGAAACCTAAAACATAGTATCTGGAATCGCTTATAAACTTATTGACTTACAAGCCACACTTTCACCCGATGCGTATTACGAATATGGGCTTGTATGTATGTACAAGTATTACGGCCCGTTAGCGCAGAACGTAAGCGTTCGGTATCATTGTTTTGCGTCATGGGTTTAATACCCGCATGGGTTAATAATATAGGCGATAAATAATAGTACCCGTACCCGGGCAGGGTGATTTGTGCATTTAAATAAAACTAGTTTTTATGGATTTTGTCGCGTATAATAACTTTTTTATATTCCCGACCTTACGAGCACTTTACAGCACCCATGGTCTCGAAAGTTAGCCACGGCTACACATTATGAACTTATAGTACCATAAAGTCTTGCGGTTGTATGCTGGTGTTGCAATTTAATTTTATTAATTGAAGGATTCCAAGCAAATGGTATCGCCCAGCCATCTTCTCTATTGAAATTAGGATGTTTTTAGATTTCAATAGTCTCGCAAATCATCCTTGGAAGGAATCGGGGTTCTTTAGAGAGGTTTTGTCGTCTATCAAATCTGATGTAATGACAAGGGCGATCCTGTACGTGTTCACAGACTGCACACTTCCCGGAGCGTCGATTATTCACATCAGTTATGTGTCCTTTAAAGCGGGTTTTAATTAATCTTTAAGTTTGTCCTAGGTTCTTACATGGAAAAACTAAAAGATTAATTAATAAGATAAAAGAGAACACATTCATTTATCAAGCTTGTACACTCCTGCATCTTGCAGAGGGACATTACTCTTGACTGATAGTGAAAACTGACTAATCTCCTTCGGCGGCTTGAAGTATGGTTTAATGTAACCGCTTCAATATGTAGAGTCTGTAAACTCCTCTAATATATGAAGACTCTAAGATACTCTAAGTTCATACTGTGTAGATTGGAACCAAAATTAATAATTTAATCTGTTGTTAACTAAATTGAATACTCCCCCCCCCTATCTCGAAACGGGAATAAAAAGTTAATATACGCGATAAAATCTATAAAAGCCAGTTTTATATAAATGTGTAGTGTTCGCGTAAATATAAGAAATCATTATGTAATTCATGTAAAACGCCTCTGCGATACGGGAGGAATTATTTTTGAAGAATTACGTTTAGGTCCAGAGTGGAAGTTTTGCAGGATGTGAAGCTTATCAGCATCAATTACGAAACGGTTATAATAGTGGACTTATTGCAGCTTAGATGCCATTTACAGGAGCATTGTTTTTGGTAATTATTACAATTAAATTCCATGATTTAACCTATTTTGTAGTAATGGAATAGGCAACGCAGAGGTGTATATAGTGCTGGCGCTTCTAATCGGCTTCGTGACCGTGGTGGTGGGGTGCTGGCTGTCGGACAACTGCTGGTCGCCGGAGCCGGAAGACGTGCTGGCGGGCGGCTGACCCGTGGCGGCGGGCGCGTGCACGCACGTGTAGCGCCCGCCCTCCGCGGCCGACAGCCCGTCGGGCGCGGGCTCGCTGTCGCCAGTGCTGCCGCCGCCCGCGCACCCCGCGCTGCCCCCCGCCCGCGCGCCCGCTTTCCTTCACGCCGCGAGACATCTCTGCCACGGCGCCTGCTTCACTCTCCCCTGCGAAAGAAATCATCACCAACCGGTTTTTTGACCGGAACCCTCCTCCTCCTGTCGCTTACACGAAAAAACTAATGGAAATTACTTTCCTTCAACCTGCAACGGAGGAGTGTGCGGTAGGGAGTAAATTTATATTATGACAATAGTTGCGTGTGTTTGTTGTAGGTAACTGGTTTGTGAAACGTCAATAAGGTCCAAATAACGTTACTCAATAAGAGCTTCGTTTACTGTTTATATGTATTTTCACGTGTGATGTGCAGGTAATGTGTAAAAGTAGACTCGGTAAAAGACCTAATCACGGGTCTTGGCTATGATTGAGGTCACTTTGTCAAAATAGGATCTCTCATTGTATGTAACGCCTGTAGGGGTCACTCTAATTTCAATAAACCAACCTTACCTAACTAGCAAGTGGTGCAGCTGCATATTACTACGAGTAGGTATGTACCACTTCACTATTATTTCTAAAAATACGTGCCTTGGAATGCTTTTCCCGACTCGACATGTAGTTTATAAAGTGTTTTGAAACCCTTTAGAAGACATTTATTTCTTCTCTCTGCCTATATGGATAAATAATACCATATTATAAGAGTGCAATACACATCATGACCGTGCCTTTACCGTTCTATAGACTTTGAGTGGGACGTAATTAACAATAGGTTTATAAAAATCGTTCCTCGACGGAAAAATACAAACCAACCATTACTTTTGTATTTTTGTATAGAACCCAGCTTGGTTTGTTATATTTTATTGCAATAAGACGCAGTTATTTATAACAGAGGAAAGTGAGGTAGGACCAAAGTCTTTCACATTAAGTGTGTCAATTGGATAAAATAATGTTGGTCATAGACTGTAATTCAAGTTTGAGAGACAACGATACGATACCATGACTAAATGTAAAGTTTTGATACATTTTTTGGCAATTTATATGTACCTACCAATACATAACAATGTATTTGAGTATTATTCATAATGTCGGTCACGTGTACCCTAAGTACCTGTACCATATATAGTACAGTATGTAAAAGTTCTTATTATAGTTTAATGACCTTATCATCCAAATAGAAAAGCATAACCATGCTCGAGTTGAATACAACGACTTTTAATTAGCAATGCACACACAGCACTAATAGATAATATCATAGTATCATATAGACAATCAAAAATACCTGGAAAAATTATACGTAAACAAAAAAAGTTCCTGTGTAAACAGCACAGCAATACCTTCTCAAATTACTAAATAATACTTGTTTTTTCTTTTGTGCAACTGGTGGTAAGCGCTTATGAAGCATTAGATGGTAATTCGCACTACCATCACAAAAACACCCAGATTGTAATCGGACAGAAATACAGAAGCTAACAAATCATTCCACACTTTTGCTGTTTACAAAAATTAAAGTCGCCATAATCATTACAGCGCGTTTCTTTACTAAATCCAACCCTGCTAAATTATGGCATTTTGCAGAACTAGACCATATTTGACAGCATTTTATGTTACAAAAGACAAAACAACAGTTATTTAAATACTGTTCAAACATTGATTAACAAAATAATGAACAATTTTTTTTCAAGAGACCGCAATGATACATTATTTATGTATCGAATAATAAAATAGAATACAGATAATAAAATAGAATTGACTCGACATCGGCACAAAATTTATATTGCGTAGTAAGTTTTTCGACTTTATAACGGATTGCACAGTTAATTAGATTTGAAGTAACCGTAGTGTATGTAATATGTGTCTATGCATTTTATAACCATAATATTATAAAGAAATATTTAGATATTGGTATTCCGTAAAAGTAAATTTTAAATGGATCGCGTTGTATGCTTAAAGCTTTTTAAAATTTCTTTGTATTATAATGTTATAACAATTGATGTTGACCACAGCCTATAGTAATATGTAACATAAAATTTTAGACAAACAAAAAAATTCTATATTATTTAAAACATTTTTGTAATAGGATTTAACTAAACATTATATACATTTATGTATACATAAAGCAATATCGATACATTATCTGCTAAATCACTGAAGAAATACATTCTCTCTTTCCGCTTGCCTCACTTTTTATTTATTCATAAACATTTCTACTCTCGGCAGTGCAACACGATATTATGACCAAAATCAAATATTAATTTCAAAATATAAAACTGAAGCTGGTAAGTTGTATTGATTTGTATTTCTAATAATTTTTATACACAATTCTAAGATATATTTAGGTATACTATTTTGAAAATGCTCTACGTCTTTAACTTTCAAGGTGCTCTAGTTGCTACTTGTAATTAATAAGTAACTCCTTTTACTCTTTTCCTTTTAACTCGTTAAAATTTATATTAATTTAAGCATTTAAAAAGTTAAATATAGATTTTAAATAAGTTTAAATATAGATGCTGCTATTAAACTATAAACTATGTTCTTATACCCTCAAAATCTAATTGGCATTAATTTTTATGTCCATGTACCTACCTACACATAGTTATGATTTAAGCTAAGTCCACACGAGGGCAATTATATCAACACACATTTGTAGAATAATGCCCTTAACACACTTATTTAAGAAATATCTTTTGCAGAAGTTTAAACCAGACTACCGATATGAAATTCGGTATCTAAAGTTTCGGTAAATCGGCCACTACCAAGTATTAAATTCAATGTCCCTATATTATTAAAATATCTTACTTGAAACAAGTGACATTCATACGTTCAAGTCACGGAATATTGATCTGAATATAAAACTACGAACAAGACGATTTTGTATTCACGTAAAAATTTGTACATTACATGAGATATGTATTCATATAACATAATATGTACAGCAATAAGTATCGTCATGTTTGACATAAGCATTAGTGCGAACGGGACTTTACAGTAATAGTTATTGTGTTTGGTTTAATTCATACGTATATAGTATTATAGATAGATGTATTATCTATATATATATCCTTACTCAAAACACGAACCAAGTTCTAAATCACTTTTACTAGTAAAATTATCCCTAAATTACTGGTACTTAGATGTTCTTTTTTCATAGACAGAAAATAGGCTACCCACCAGATATTTATATACAATGTGTCATTTTCAATCTAAATAACTTTAGATGAATCGCGAGAACTCTTTGGGGATTATATGTAATTCAATTATTTTTGACATAAAGAGCATAACCTCCAAAAAAGTTAAAGAACTATTAAAGTAACATTTGTCCTTACTCCCAGCAAATTAAACAACTCATTTCAAATTATAATTAATTTGAAAATTATGGTGATCTCATAGTGCATCATCTTGTTGAATATATATTCATTTACTACAAACTAATGAAAAGTAACATAATTTTGCCGATAGATTAACACTTGAAAGGAGTGTATAGAAAAATAATAAAAACACATCATGTTTTGCAGTTAAGCAACATAAAATTAACATAGAGTACTTGTTTAGGCTGTAAGGAAACCGACTGAATAGTCAATACTCATAAGTAATTGATAACGTTTTAGGGATTAGACTACCTGTAGATAATAATACCAAAGCCGATTAAAAACATTTTAGATCGTTTTAAAAAAAACATCATCACGCTTGTTACTTTGCAGCAGTCTTAAGTCAGAAGTTGTAATATTACATACGACTACGATTTTATTATAAAATACAAAAATATATTTTATTCACTGATAAAAAATATAATAAATAACAAAAAAGTTTATCAATAATTTGTTATACATAGCATTTGTACCAAAGTTACTTCAAAATGTTTGTAATAATATTTTTGAAAATGTTCAGAAATTACTTTTTGTTAAAATTATATATGAAGTTCATTCATGTAGGATAATTTAAATTTCAGTCTGTTATTTAAATACATGAAGCATTGTATTAAATTGTGTTAAGTGTTTATGAGTATAATGTAAATATTCAACAAATCACTTCCGATATGCATTAATCAATATTCGGAAGATAGGCTGGCTTGGCTGATATAGGAATTGAGAGAATTTGTAAGCTCAATATAATATTTAGTGAAATAATAATAACTACGTCATTAATTGTCACAAATATTTCGAATAAATGTATAATATAATACTCGTAACAACTTTTATTTTATTTGCACCATTGTTAAGGTATGAAATATTCGTCGACTGCTCGGTTAATGAAAAAAAATTCACGACTAAAAGGTTACTTTTAATACAAACTGTTTCCACAGAGAAATAGGCCGTGACGTTTTTTCTGTGCAAAGAACCGCGCGAGCGTAGCAAAAACTGTAATGCCATATTTTGTTCCTACATACAATCATAGTATCTACAAAAATTATTTTTGAAAAAAAAACTTAAAAGAAAAATCATTGTGTTAAATATTAAAGTTATATATTAAATATTTTCTTTAAGCAAAACTACCTATGAAAACAATCCGAAAGAATATTAAAATCTAAGACCCAAAATTAAGCTATTAATAAACTTTAAACGAAACCACATAAATTAATAAACGATAGTTAGTTTCGTTGTAAAAGAGAAAATATTGTTATGTAAACAAAAATACAAAACTCATAAGTATTATTGTGAATCTATCAGGATATAAGTTGTAAAATTAAAAATTTTGTACAAACGACTTTGGTAACGCCAGTTAACAAACTACTTTATAAACATTACATTACATATCACATTGAGTTCGTCCTAAGTTATATCTACTTTATCAACATAATGAAATGACTAGTGCATATTTGATTCCTTCCTTCCTTCCCTTTCCTACCACACGCGCTGCCGCCGAGGCACGTTAATATTATAACTACGGTCTCCTATTAAATGCTATACGCGACGTCCGACTTCAGCGTAAAC